TAAAAGACAATATTTAAAAGCTAAAAGAAATATAGAAATATTTAAAAACAATCAGACAAATACTCCACTAAAGTGGTAAAGAAAATCAATACCAAAAACAACATTTAAAGCAACAAGGCACAACAATCCACTTAAAAACCCTGCTCAGACAGCCTGAGGGGAAAGCCTGCCTTCATCTGCTTGCAGAAGAACAGCAAATGTGGGGCCCAGCCTGGCCTCCTGTGGGAGGGAGTTCCAGAGTTTAGGAGCAGCAACAGGGAAGGCCCCTCTTCCATGTCCCCACCAAATGCACCTGTGAGGGTGGTGGGACCAACAGAAAGGCCTCCCCGGATTATCTTAACACCTTAGTAGGCTCAAAAGGGGAGACAACTCAAGCTGTTTAGGGATTAATAGGTTAAAAACAGCCTCTGAACTGTGTCCAGAAATTGATTAGAGCCATTCGAATTGCTTTAGTGTGTGTGTGTGTGTGTGGTTTTTATATAATCCCTGTGAATAGCCCCAGTTAACAATCTTGCTGCAGTGTTTTGGACCTGCTGATTTATTCAAACACTTTCCAAAGGCAGCCCCATGTAGAGCATGTTACAGTAACCCAGCTGGGATGTAACTGAGGCTGCAGCCACACTGGCAATAAGAACTACATTTAAGCATCATTTAAATTGATTTAGATTTTATCGTTCACACAATGCAAGGGTGAAATCGATTTATATAAGCGGCAAAGCAAGCTTTTTTCAACTGGCCAGCAGGGGCTTTTAAAAATACTCTGCTTCTAAAATCAATTCAATTCAATGCGGTTTTTGTAGATGTGAACACTTGCTGTCATTTAAATTTTTGCCTATGTGGATTTTGGGTGGCAGGGCACCACCAATTTTCCTTTTAAATTAAACAAAAAAAATCCTTATAATGTTTATTACTGTATCACTTCATCAATATGCTCAGCATTACAGCTACCTATTATATTCTCTTTGCAGAGCAGCAGAAGACCAGCAGATGCAAAGCAGGCACAGAGCGGGTCTACCTGGGACATAGATGATGATCCACCCACCAGGAGGCTCGCCCTGGAAAAGCAGCTGAAAGCCTTCCCCCGCTCCCTTGTCATTTTTTTTTCATCATTAATTTGCTGTGGTCCCCCTCTCTTGTGTTTCCCTGAAGGTTTCTAGTGACTATTATGACACCAGGTGGCACATCCTAGATACCTGATTTATCAATATATCACTAATGAAATAAAATTATTTAAGAACAACCTGCTCCAAAAACAGAGAGAAAGTGAGTCAATTTCAGCAATGTAGACACCAAAACCAGTTTAAATCACCAGAAATAAATGGATTTCCATTCAGTGCATGTGAATGCAGCCATCGCTTTAAATGCCATTTTTTTTTCATCATTAATTTGCTGTGGTCCCCCTCTCTTGTGTTTCCCTGAAGGTTTCTAGTGACTATTATGACACCAGGTGGCACATCCTAGATACCTGATTTATCAATATATCACTAATGAAATAAAATTATTTAAGAACAACCTGCTCCAAAAACAGAGAGAAAGTGAGTCAATTTCAGCAATGTAGACACCAAAACCAGTTTAAATCACCAGAAATAAATGGATTTCCATTCAGTGCATGTGAATGCAGCCATCGCTTTAAATGCCACATGGCTTGAACCTGATTTTTAAAAAGTCTGAACAGAAATTGATTCAGGTTGCCAGTCTGACCACAGCCTAAGGCTGTGGCTAGGTCACGCCTCTTCAGGAAATGGTACAACTGGTGCACTAGTTTTATTATTTATGTCTAGTATTGGAGAATTTAGCATCTAGTAATAAATGATATCATTATTTCAATATGTTTGCTACCACCTTGATCTTTTTATGCACATTGGAGAGGCCATGCATCGTCTCTAGGTTTTCTACTTCTGTACCTTATTGAGAAGGGGATGTGGTGGCGCGGCGCGTTAAACTGCAGAAGCTTCTGTGCTGCAAAGTTGGAAGACCAGCAGTCGTAAGATCGAATCCATCTCGTTGCTTGTCCCAGCTCCTGCCAACCTAGTAGTTCGAAAGCATGTAAAAATGCCAGTAGATAAATAGATACCACCACGGTGGGAAGGTAAGGGCGTTCTGTGTCTAGTCGTGCTGGCCACATGACTACAGAAACTGTCTTTGGACAAACGCTGGCTCTACGGCTTGAAAACGGGGATGAGCACCGCCCCCCTAGAGTCGGAAACGACTGGACTAAATGTAAAGGGGAACCTTTACCTTATTGAAACTACTGTTTTTCTCTGACTTCCTTAATTCTATTTCAGAGTTTGTAACATTTCCACTTCTGTTAGTTCCAATATTTATTCTACCATCAGCTCCTTTTTTGAAAAAATTACATTTCTACTTTTGAATTTGTTGCTGGTCATATCTGCTAATACTTTTGACAGTTTAGAGCACTGGTTCTTAACCTTTGTTACTCATATGTTTTTGGACTGCAACTCCCAGAAGCCTTCACCATCAGCTATGCTGGCTGGGGTTTCTGGGAGTTGCAGTTCAAAAACACCTGAGTAACAGAGGTTTAGAATCACTGGTTTAGAGCAAGTGGTATTCATATTTGTCTTATCTGATTATGTGGTAGGCTTTCATGACCCCTGTCCCTAATAATCATATCTACAATTGGATCACTCTGTTGTTTAATTTCTATGCTTTTTTTAAAAAAAAATTCTTTAACTTCTGGTCAGCTACAGCAATGATAGTATTATGATCTATATGGAAATCATAATCATTTCTGGAACTGACCTTATGTAATACAACTTAACACCATCGGGGTTTTTTACTTGTGATTAACTAGGATATAATATATTTAGTTCTTCATATTATTGTTGCTACTGTCATCTTGTAGGAATTTCCATGACATTATCTCCTTAGTGGTAATTTGAATGTTGAGTTGGTGACCACAGATTCTTTTTCTTCTTCAAAAAATGTTTATTACCCACACTCAGTGTTTCTAGTCTGTATTTTCCAACAAATCTCCTCAGCCTTCTTTCCATATTTTAGCATTAAAACCCTTCATTATAAAATTTATATTATATATATTTCTGTGTTTTATATCAGCATTGAGTTCTTTATAGACTTTCTATATTTTCTTCATTTCTATACTTTTCTTCAGTTGAGTCATATATTTGTGTGATGCTGATGTTTATAAAATTCCTCTATGTTTACACAAACATTACCTCATGTGAGTATGAAACAAAGTTTGCCACAGCTGCACTTAATTTTTTTAAAACTAAGAGTATATCTACAGTATATAGATACTGTTATAGCAGTCTGCTATCACTGTTTGATTCTACTTCAGCTGCTATGGCATCATCATACAAAATGCTGGGATCTATAGTTTGGTGAGGTAATTATGTAGATTTTTCTGGTATAGTTTGGGGTGTGTGTGTGCTATAGCTATCTTTGAGAAAATTCTAAGTGCCTCACAAAACTGCAAATCCCAAGAGCCACTGTAGTTAAAATGTAATCAAAGTGCTATAACCATGCAATGTGGATGCAGCTATGACTCCAATACCGTAACAGTGTTGTGTGTTATCTTTGCTCAAATCAGTGTATGATTAGTATCTGTATGTATTTGATTTGACCCTTGCTAGTGAATTTCACTTAGTGTAAGGATCAAAATGTTCATCTTTTTCATTTCTTTGACTGTATTGTGGCTCTCCCCTACCACATACATACATACTCTGTTCAGTCCAGAAACCTAATCTAAACTTCATCCCACAGATTCACTGGCCATCTACAACTTGCTGGGGGCTGAGGGCCTTTTTGCTTTTCTATCTAGTCATGAGTCTTACAAATGCACCTGGAAGGTAAAATGTTCAGCAGGTGAAAGTTTTTCCATTGTCTTCCACATCTCAGTGCCATGGCCAGTTGTGATAGTCACCATCATGTCAGCAAATTCCCCATAGTGAAGCCAGCCTTCTTTTACTTTGGTTTCCAATCGGTACTGATGTTCATGCTATCCATAGTGAGGTGGGGCTTATGAGCAATTGAGTTCCTAAAGGCTGCACAGATCTCCTGGTCAATAACCTCCAGCCAAAGCAATTTGTTTTTCTAGGGGTTCCCTAGTACTCTGTATGGCAAAGAGACAGGGAGGTGCTCTTCACCACTGTGGACCCAGTAGGCAATCCCACCACTTTCTTTTTTGGGTTACTAAATCTAGAAGTCTAGAAGATGGAATTCAAATGAAGCCCTTCTTGGTTACTGTGATACAGAAACACGGGAGACTTTGTAATAGCAGAGAAAATCACACACTGACTCAGAATTTCCACTGGGAAGTGAAAAGTAAATACATTCCTACTTAACTGAATTCCAATTATAGAATCCACCAAAAGATCCACAGGAGTTACTTCTCAGCTTGTAAAGTGCTAAACTGCACTTGTGTGTTGAGTTAAGTAACATCTCTGATTCCTGCAACTCTGATTCCTGCAACACTAAATTGTTTGATTTTGTGTGCATTATATACTTCGTGATCTTAATCTGTTTTGGTATGCACACAATTAAAACAAAGCAATATGAAAATGAATAATCAAAATATTTTTCATTTTTAAAAAGGGGCACAGGGAACAAAACAGTTCTGTTTTCTCTACTGTAGCAAATTTCAAATGAAGCTGGGTGTCTGGAGGTAGAGAGAGGAGAGCCCCTGTCTGTGTGTTTTGCATTTGTAAATTATATGGCTATGTCTGCATGAGATTACAGGGGAGGAGGGTCAATAGCTTAAGTCAGGTTTAAAGCAGCTTTCCTTTAATGGGGTATGCCCTCCGGATGAGCTGAACTGTAACTCCCACCATCTCTGTGCTGGAAGGAAATGTTGGGAATTGTGCCCCCAAGCTCTGGAAGGCACAAGGCTGATGAAGCCTAGTCTAAAGCCTGAAGATATTATTGAATATCATATTTCCTTGGCTGCTAGCCATATCAGCCAAATACCTCTAGTATTTCACTCAGCAGCCATTGTGAATGTAGTTGGTTCATGCACTTTCCCTCTTAGTTTCTCTGCTCTCGGACTTTCTTTGCTTTTATAAGTGACGGGTGGGTGGGTGGCACTGCATAAGCAGTTTTAACTCTCCTGCCCTTTAGGGGGAAAACACAAACACTTTCCAGTGGGAACCTCTTTCACATCCAGTTGTCATGTAAGGAGAGCAAAATTCAACAAGACTCGGGGGTGAAAGGATTAACCCTCCCTTTCTTTCATGCTGTGATCTGGGCAAAGGTTCTGCCCCTCCCTCAGCAATTACATGGTTTTTCCCCCAGTCCTAGGTGCTGTGTCTGTGTGTGTGTGTGTGTCTGTCCGTGTCTGTGTCTGTGTGTCTGTCTCTCTCTCTCTCTCTGTGTGTGTGTGTGTGTTACACAAGCACATGCGTATATATGGATGTTCCATGAAGACGTGCACAAATGTGTGCCTATAGGCATGCATGTGTACTGAGGTGGCTCCAGACCAGGGCTGGGGCTCCTCCCTGAAGTATTGGGGCCAGGCCCTTCCCTTATCCAGTCTGCAAGACGCTCCTGCGAGGTGGGAGGTGGATGTTGTATGACTGAGTACCCGTGTGTGGGGGAGGGGGGAGGGGAATAAAACAGCAAGCCTGGAGTGGCCACATCCATTTTTGCCCCGACTCCATCCACTTCTGGACATCTGATGATGAGACTCTTTCTTGTCCTTTCCTCCTCTCCCAAGTCCACTAACGTCAACCTCCTCTCCGCCGAGGGTGGCGGCGACGGCGCCCTACTGGGCGAGACCCTTTAGGCTTCTCCCCGGCCCTGCTCAGCCGCCCTGGCGGCATCCCGCTCCCGGCGAGGTCCCCGCTGTTTCACGGCGCCTTGTTCTCTCTCTCTCTCTCTCTCTCTCTCTCTCTCTCTCTCTCTCACACACACACACACACACACACACACAGAGAGAGAGAGAGAGAGAGAGAGACACTGCTGACTACTCTGTCACGCGCTCGCGCTCGCTCTCTCTCTCTCTCTCTCTCTCTCTCTCTCTCACACACACACACACACACACACACACACACACACAGAGAGAGAGAGAGAGAGAGAGAGAGAGAGAGACAGACAGACAGACAGACAGACAGAGAGAGACAGACAGAGAGACTGCTGACTAGAGAACCAGCCCTGAAGCCGCCATCCTATTTTCCTCTCACGTCTTCCCTCTCGGTCTCGCTAACTTCCCATGAGGGGACTTTACGAAGAAGAAGAAGAAAGGGTCAATCACGCTGGTTGCGCGCC